TTTTGTTGACCTTTGTCCATGGAAGGTCCCTGCAAAATTTCATTGCAATTGGTTCAGGGGTTTTGGAGAAGAAGATTTTTGAAATTTTAGTCAATTTGACCCCTTTTGGCCCCGCCCCTCAGGCCCCTGGGGGCGTAGGACTAAACCGGCAACTGTTTTTGTTGACCTTTGTCCATGGAAGGTCCCTGCAAAATTTCATTGAAATTGGTTCAGGGGTTTTGGAGAAGAAGTCGAAAATGTAAATTGTTTACGGACGCACGACAGACGACGGACGACGACGGACAAAAGGCGATCGCAATAGGTCACTTGAGACTTTGTCTCAGGTGACCTAAAAATTAAGAAAGATCCCTCTAGTTCTTCCGGAGAAATAGCGGTAACAAACCCACACTATCAAAATCAAAGATGGCTGCCTATCGGCCAAGTTGTTTATCCAATCAGTCTCAAAAAAATGCCCTGCACAGCTAAGGACCAAGGGGAACCTACATATAAAATTTGAGAAAGATCCCTCTAGTATTTCTTCAGAAATAGCGATAACAAACTTTCAATATAAAAATCAAAGATGGCTGCCTGTCGGCCATGTTGTTTATCCGATCAGTCTCAAAAGTTGCCCTGCACAGCTTAGGACCAAGGGGAACTTACGTATAAAATTTGAGAAAGATCCCTCTGGTACTTCTTGAGAAATAGCGATAACAAACTTTCAATATCAAAATCCAAGTTGGCTGCCTGTCGGCCATGTTGTTTATCCGATCAGTCTCAAAAGTTGCACTCCACAGCTAAGGACCAAGGGGAACCTACATATAAAATTTGAGAAAGATCCCTCTGGTACTTCTTGAGAAATAGCGATAACAAGAATTGTTTACGGACGGACGACGGACCACAGACGCAGGGTGATTTGAATAGCCCACCATCTGATGATGGTGGGCTAAATATACAGGTTGTTAGTATAACATCTATACTAAAAAGTATTTAACACTCCACTGTAGTCAATCACAAGCCCAACTTGAAAATGTGTTTACAGTCACTTTCAGACCACTACAGTAACATATAAAACATGCTTGGAGTTCAAGTTTCACAACTAGGAGCTAAGCACAAGGATATGTTACATGCTATATAACATGACATATATAAAGAGGATTCACAAATAACAGTGTTTTAACTGTTTTATATATATTCTATATGATATATAGATCTATTGACTCCCTTGGCTGCTATGATGGGTATTGAAAAATGACAAAAATTGTGATTTCGCATATTCTTCTTAATTTAATAGAAACTTCATATAAATCCAGTTTTTATAGCATTGAACAAATTAATTTTTACACATAAAAAGCACAAAATTTATTGTAAAATACTATGCATAAATTCTCTCTGGATACAATATTTATAAATCATTGAAGTTAAGTTTGAAGTAATCCAAAGGGCTTATTCGTAAAGATATATACATATATGTATATCTTTTCGTGGATATCAGATGCTATTATACATGATTAACAATATCCATCCTAATATTTTTTATTTCAATGTCTTTGTAGAATATGCTGCACTTGATTTTTGCAATGGATTCAAGAGGTGCAAATTTAAATACTTATATAGAGTCTAATGAACCTTTCGCATTCTCACATTAATGTCATGTCATCATACGCCTAGAAAACTTCAAGATATCAAACATCTTGCCAGCCAAAAAGAAATCAAGAAAGGAAACTTAACTGTAATATACACTGTTTAGTTATACATGTAGGTCTGATTTAGTAATTTAACACATCACTCAATGCTTGAAAGAGTATACAGTACCGATATTCCGATACACTACATTACCAGATTGGGCACAACGGCGCATATGGGTAATAATCCTGCATTTGGGTAACATCTTTGTATGTTATGGTTGAATGCACTTCGAATCTACTTTCACTATCCTATATAAAAAATCAAAATTTTGTACTTCACTATCTTTTAAAAATCGCTATTTATATGGTTGAACGTTTTTTCGTGTTTTGACATTTTCTAGATTTTAGATGTCCTGACTTTTCTAAGGCTTCAAAGGTCGTGAAATACTTTCAAAACCAAAAACTGTTCAACCAAAAGTTGTTTATAATAACCATATAAATAGCGATTTTCAATAACGTAAGTGGAGTACAAAATTTTGATGTTTACAGTACAACCTGGCTCCGCCCTCACTAACGGCCGTGCCGTAACACATATCATCGCTAACAAATTCTCAGGTCTCTGTGGAATCAACATCGAATGATGTCGATATTTCAAATAATGACAATTGTATTGAAACGATATTGTAATAATGTAAACAACATACTTACCAATATCTTTTATACCGTCAATCTTCCTTTGCCACCGGAAAGGATGGATGTGGTGTAAATATCTGTCCGGTGACCGGAAATTCCGGATATTCATCTTTCAGCAAAGCTGCTGGACACCAAACTTTTTTTTATGAAAACGACTTACTGAGAGTCCATCACACACGAGGGAACGGATCCAGCATACTTGAATCTATTTATTTATAATTATATAAACTGTTAATGGCATTTTTTTTGTCGTTCAGAATATTCCGTTCACGCTCAATATCCTAACATTTTGAACTTTTGTCACTTAATATTTGTCCCACAGCACGCAAATGTACAGTTTCAACTGCACGTTTAGGCCTAACGTTAAATGTCTACGATTTGGTACTAACGCCATCTTCTGAGAAAAGAAGCCGGGACATGAAGATAATTTACATACAAATATCTTTTATACCTTTTGTCAAAATTGAAGCGATTTTTACAAATATTTCTTTTGACAATGTACCTATTTGACTATTTTGGATAAAACATCAACCGTCTTCTAGGTTAAAGCTTCATTCAACACTGTAATGTCAGGTTACGTATTAACGTTCTCAACATGTTTTAACCAATATTCAGAGATATAATACCCCGCTTTGTTAGTGTTCACCTTTCCGACAAAGGTTTCGGCTACAGTAATCAAAACCAATGATCAGTTCGGTATTCCGTATGGCATACAAGTGTTGGAATGTAGTTGGCTATAGGCAAATAACCGAGTCCAGATCGGACCCAAAGGATTTCTGTTCATGGTGATTGTAAAATTTATGTTACCCTGACTTTACCCAGAAACCGTAACATATATTTATTATGACTCTCGAGTCTTATTAAAATATTTCAAATGGGATCTAGCTCTTTTTTATATGTCTATAAATGTTACAATCTAATACAAAATTAATAGAAAATGCGTAGCGACGTTGCCAACACACGAAAGATAAATCGATATTAATATGTTTTTAAATATAATGAACCTAATATAACAGATTTACGGGCATTGTATACATCCGTTCATTTCCATTACCTGGTATTATGAATACAAAGTTCGTTGACTAGATTGCAGACGTCGTAGAAGGAAAAATCTCTTAAACAATTGCAAAATAAATTCCGTTTTAAAGCAAAAAATTTCAAGTGAAAATTCTGTAAAGTTTTTGTCTAAACAAGAGGCCAAGAGTGCCTTACCGCTCACTTGGATAATAAAGCAACATTGGAAAATTATTATTACATATAATTATGCAACTATTTCCAAATATTGGCTCTATCTCTCAGCAAAACCCGTTCATCGTTAGGTTCATTCTTTCTGCCCCCATGAAGTGGAGTGGATTTTAAACATTAACCCCAACTTCCCCTAAAAGGCCCGCCCCTCTGTCCCCTAAAAGCAACCCTCTTATTATTGAGTCCCCTTTGTCCAAGGATGCCCTACACCAAATTGTGTTAAAATCCCTCAAAATAAACTAAAGAAGAATTTTAAACATTTATTACTATAGCCCCCTACTGGACCATTCCTCCTTGCCAAATGATGCTCTGGGCCAACTTTAGTTAAAATAACTCAAATCATACTGAAGGAGACCAATTTACCCTATACCTATCCCCCAGCCACATCCTCTTTTATACAAAAATGACTTCCCCTTGCCTGCCAAAGAATGCTCTGGACGAAATTTGGTTAAATCCCTCCAATAGTACAGAAGGAGCAGGGCTTTCTAAGATTTCCCACAAGTTCCCCTATTGGGCGCCACCCTTCTTCCTATAGGTCGGCCACACCATCCAAATACAAAATTGAGTCCCCTTCACACAAGCATGCTCAACACAAAATTTGGTTAAAATTCCTCCAAAAAATGATATACCTAAATTTCCCCTATTGGGTCCCATCCCCCTGCCCCAAGGGGGGCCACACCCTTCGTTTATACAAAATCAGTCCCCTCTGCCGGAGGATGCTCTACACAAAATTTGTTTCAAATCCCTCACATCATTCATTTTGTACTAAAGGAGAAGGATATTAATAAACACTACGTACCCTCATTTTGGCCTTTAAAATTACACACACATTTCCAAATCGGACAGCTTTTACGGAAGCTGACTCGTATTGGGCTTCTTGTACATGCTAGATTTCTCATCAATGCCATGTACACATACATTGAGTTACCAATACAAAACGTATAATACACGTTTTATAGAGTTGTGTGATGTTTGGATATATATATATGAACAGAAGTATCTTTTATATAAGTTTGGCCAATCGATTTGAATCCCTTAGATTTAGAAACTGTAAAAAAAGAAAACCCCGGAAAATCTACCTTAATGGGTTATTGGGGTCATGAAGCATAATATGGCTTCGTTCAAGACGTGTTCAATGCATGTTTAATGCCATGCATAGAGCCTATGTTTTATAGCAATAGTTCTGATCTCTCAGATAGTTAATCTTCATTTGTATTAAGATGTTTAGTATAACAATCGTTCATTTAGTACGTCAGTTGCTTTCATCGGCTATTGACAAAATTTTAATAAGGAATTTCTAAAAGAAAAGAAAAAAGAAATAAATGAAAAAAACGCACCTAAACTGCTCTAAACAATAGCATGGTTTTCCATTGTACATAATACATATACTCAGCTATCACCTGAATGACGGTAACGTGTTCAACATTTCATACTTAAGTATACATTAGATTGTGTCACCTAAGTGACGGGTCACGTGCTTGACATTACATATAAGACACGAGTATTTTATCACCTGAATGACGGGTCATGTGCTTGACATCACATATAAGACACATTTTTTATCACTTAGTCTAGCCTGATGATTGTTATGCTACTCCAGCTGGAAACACTGTTTTAACGGACAACGCTAAACGGAGTACATTTAGTTTAGCGGTCCCCCAGAAATGGTGTAAATTGCCGAATGAGGACTTTCGCCAAAGTCATTGTCTATTAGAGCGTGCTGGACCCTCAACAGGAATTCAAAAACACAGAAACTGAACTTCTTGAGCAGTTTAACCAGTTATAATATATCCTTTAGTCTTCGCAATTTCCTTTTCTATTCGCTGGTTGTTGTCAAGCTCACTTCACATGCATACTCACTTGTCATTTGGGACGATATTGTAGCATGACAGAAATCATCTGCTTTTGATATACCTCGTCAAAATATGTGTTTGGAGAATATAGTGATTTTTAACAATAGGTTGTATAACCATTAATCTGTCTGAACAAAACAAAGATTTACCATGTATTATCATACGATATGTATGTTGATGCGTAGTTGTTTGGAAATACCGACCCACAAATCTTTGTCGATCACGAACAGGCAAAATATTAAATAATGAACGTAGATTGAGGGCTAAAAAACCCATTTAAATGAAGTCTTATAGAAGCTGCAATATTTATGAAAGAATGAATCAAAAGATGCTGACTACTTTAGGCCCAGTGTTTATCTTCTTATAGAGGCTGCTCATTTAAATTCAGCAGGCACTTTAAAAATCATTGAATGAAGCCAGAAAACTAGCTGTGGATTTGGGGGCAAAAGAGGAAAGCAGAAAAGCAAAGGTACTGGGAAATGGTTCATTCGCTTATAAAAGTCTCTGAGCAAATATCAGATGCCAATAAATATGCTAGGCCTCAATTGAAAATTGCTGACGGCAAAGGTATTGTAAATGATAACTATTTAGCGAGTATTGATTCTGCTCTGGATGGAAAATTGGGCTTTAATTTCATGAAACATGTACTAATACATTTACAACAAGAGACCAAGAGGGTTTGTATCGCTCACCTGGATATTTAAGAAATTTTTGCAACATTCTCATTAAAAATAGAATGGCAAATAACATACAAGAGATAGGAACTGGAAAAAACCTTTGTAGCATTTGTGTATCCTAATATCCACACTCAGCTATTGTATTTGTATACACTGAATGGTGGGATCTCAAACAAAGTTATGACTCTGTGAGTAAGTCGCTATGGACAGAAGCAGACCCCATGACGAGTGTGCTTGTTATTTTATGGCCAGCAGTTGTTTACATGGTTATGGGGTTGGGGATTTCAACTATTTCCAAGTTGTGACCCAGGGCTAAGGAGATCGCTGGGGGTGTTGGCAGACATCAGGTCAAGTGTGATGTCATACTAATGTTCCTGTCTTAGTGCTCAGAAATTGTATATGGTCATGGGCTGGGGAATCTCTTAAAGAATTATGGCCAAATAACCAATATTGGCTAAAGACGAAAGCGTGCCTATTGGCGTTTACAAGCTATACAAGAATGCAATCAAATGAATTTCTAAAAAGGATAAAAGGTGTTGAAATCTCGTCTTTTTCCCTGCAGGTAGGGCGTAAAAATTGTACCTACTGCCCCCATTGTATGCTCGTAAGAGGCGACTACATTTGGGATCTTATCTTTTCTCTTTCTTCTTCCTAATGTCTCCCTTGACAATACCCCACTTTTGGCCTTTAGTTGAGCGTTCGCCCCTGTGAGGAAGGCTTTGGGTTCTGTTCCCTGGCCGAGACATACCAGAGTCTGTAAAAATGGTAGTTTCTCCCATGGTTAACGCTCAGCAATTTAGGAGTGGGACGACTGGTTCGCCCGTTGTAAGTATAATGTGACTGGTCGGGGTGTACTGCTGGGTGTCTTCGGCAGTATGTTTCAGTGAGGTAGCACTATAAAGTCGACATTAGTTCCGCGCTATCACAAGGAGACAAACACGAACATATCGCAGCCTCCCAAAACACACACGCATACACTACACGCATGTATCTTGCACACAGGGGAGGCCGTTCTTAAATTACCATAGCTGTTGGTAGGACGTTAAACAATACTAAACCAAACCAATCCAAACTTTTGAGATGAATGAAATGACTTTTCCATTCCATGTTGATAATATATACTATGCATCTTCCGATAATCTTCATGAGGAACAAAAGCGGACATTGCTTTCTTTCTTATACGCTAGCAAACGTGTTCGCGAAGGACGAATGGGACTGGGGTAATACTATTGTGGTTTAACACACGATTGACACTCAAAATAGCGCACAAATTCGCCAAAGTCCTCGACGTGTCGCTTTAAGGGAGGAAACTGCAATCAAAAATATGATCAAACAGGACGCTATTGAACCTCCTCTAGTCCCTGTTCATCGACCATAGTTTAAGTGAAAAATAATGATAGTTCAAAAAGATTCTGTTTGAATTATTGATTATTGGCAAGTGAATAATCTCACCAAAGCGTTATTCTTTTCCCATGTCAGGAAGCAGTTCAAGTTCCAACTTGCACTAAAAGTTCGAAATGGATGCGTACTTCGGATTCACAAAGTGACTACTGACAAGTCGCTATGGGCCCCGAAAGATCGGAAAACACGTGTTTGCAACAGAATGTCGATTGTATCGGTTCAATGTAGGCAGGCTGCATTCGAAAGGCTGAGGTTTAAACATCTATAGGGTGTTTCGTGGAAAATGTGTTGAGTTTATCGTGACAACGGGTTAATTTTGGTCACGATATGAATGAAATCTGGATGTACCTTGGATGTGTGCTTGGCGCCGGTTACAATCAGCTGGATTAAAGTTTGGTCAAAGCAAATACATATTCTTACGAAGAGAGTGTCTTATCTTGGTTTGATAAATGTGTCACTGGGGTACGAAGCGTTGTGGGACTGTGATCTTACTGCGGGCAGTTTATTAGCAGTTCCGCAGAGATTGCTTGACCTATGAATGCTTTGACAGAGAATGACAATACATTTCAATGGACTTACATATGTGCTCAAACAAGATTTCGTCATTAGCAAGGATGCCAGGCTTTCGTGTTCGATGTCAGCTTTGAAAGAACATACAAATTAGAATTTTCAATGCTTGTTATGTCATGAACGCATGTTGGCTGACCCTCAGTTGCGTCCCTGTGACAAAAATAATGACAAGACAATCTGAAGATAAATTATTCATTTTTTATTATATAATCGTTCCTAAAGCTCTTTAATAACATAATATAAAGCATTAGTCAGAATAATAATGACAAGACAATCTGAAGATAAATTATTCATTTTTTTTTATTATATAATCGTTTCTAAAGCTCTTTAATAACCTAATATAAAGCAATAGTTAGAATACTAATGGAATACCTATAAACCACCGTGTAAGGCAATGGCTAAAATTTGGACAACCCCAGTAAAGATGACCATATTCAATCTAAGACTGGGATCTGGATTCTCATGTAATTCTCGACACACTTTATCTCTATATCCGTATTCCCTTCTTAGAACATTTTATATTAACAGTTTACAATGTTGTGAGAACATCACCAAAGATAACATTTGTGATTGTCGGCAAATCTTCCCTCACGATGACATTTTGTGATTGTGGGTGTATCTTTCCTGACGATAACGTCTTGTTGGTATGAGTAAATTTCATCTAAGGATAACATCTTGTAATTGTGAGTACATCTTCCTAAAGATAACATATTTTGATTATGAATAAATCTCCCCTACAATAACAAATTAAAAACTGTTGTTAATCTTCATAAGAATTTCACAAATTCTAAAGCGATCAGATACCATTATAAACTACATTTTAATAATTTTAAGATTTTGTAGGAAATTATGCCTAACGGCTCAGGCACTTTACCTCCCCAGACAACACTATAAGAGACCAGTTCCCTCGGGAAAGGGCCATAATAGAATAATATATGTATACAACTATACCATTACACTATAACGCAACAGGGTCGTATCTCATTTATCACACAGCAATATCACAGCTTACAAAAAAAACATTAAATAAAATAGATCGATAAATCAATAAAGAATTCTTAAAACATTAACCAACAATTCCTAGATAAAAAAAACCCATCAAAAGCGCTTTTCACATTCTGTGTAGATCGTATAGCTTCTATACGCTAATATATATATATAAAATCATGCAGCTATTATAGCCTATAACAACATATAATAATTGAAATACATCATATTGTAACATTTTTGTTCACGTAAATAAAACTTCTCTGCGTTTAATTGGTTGATATAAATAACCCACAGCAGAAAAAAAACTTTCTAATTTCTAACTTATCTGTGATACAATTCTGGTGTGGCAATTCTGAAGCTGCATCTTCAGTATCCATGACAACGTCTCATTGTAAATAAAGTACGAGAAAGATTTAAACCTAGTAGTTCTTCTTTATATGTGACGCAGTCCCCTCAAGTGACAATATGTGGTCAAGCAGACTATGGAAACCAAATAAAAATAGTCATCACAAACATTCCTTGACAGTGGTAACGTAACTGTCATAAGATAATTTTATTCAAATAGCATTTAGCTTAAAATTTAGCAGTAAATCAACTAGGAAATAAAGTACCGTGTTTGACACTCATGGACCATGGATATACAGAGTAGAATATGGATGAATATTTCAGGGTCTTAGATCGAGAAAGAACATGATATGAATGAATTTGAAGGTTTCAAATTGACACAGAATAAGGTTGGTTTATATTTTAAGGCCTTTGAGTGATACACAATGTGATATGGATGGTGTTCAACGCTTTAATACTTATCCATAATGTGGTACATTGTATTGGCGTACTATAACGGTAAGCTATGTTCACAACGATTTTTCCAATGATATTACCATTGTATATCCAGACAGTGTTATAGCAATTTAATATGGTTAACTAGTATCTTATATCAGATAGCACTACCATAGACAATGTATACAACTTATCAATCAAATACCTGCTCACAGCTATGTCTGATAATCTTCACATTAATAACAATACTTGTTTTCAACGCTGATACAAAACTATAACTTTTTGAAATATATACTATAACAACAATTTAAACATATTACAACAGCAGTCCATACGTTGTCTACTTAAGGATTGAAATACATAATTTTGATATTGATAGACGTTTAAGAAAAACCCAGTCACATTCATTTTCATAATATCCTGTATAAAACTTACATTGGAGAATACGTAAACAACTAGGTTTCAAATCATCCTAATTGCTTACACGAACTTCAATTTTTGTATTCATTTCAAAACAACAAAGAAAACTTACTCTGTATTTCCGAGAGGTTTCTGGTAGGTTATAATACATTTATTAAATGATGGAACAGTCAATTTTGTGCGTTAATGGATTTTATGGTTACCATTTTCACCAGGCAGCAAAGGCCAATCCCAGACAATGTAAGAAAGTCCATTAAAGTATGAATTAAATAGCATGACAAGATTGCCCCCTTACTAGTCTAACAGTATGATTAGACCCGAACATTATAGAATTAAAAAACATCATTCATGTGTAATATTTCTTTAAGTTATGTTTCTTTTTACAACATTTTGAGTAGGTAGCACTATTTAAGGGCAGTACAATCAAAAATTACAATTTGTACATTTCTGTAATAACAGTCATTTATATACTATATCCTCCCTATTTTTATTTTTGAATCACGACTTTACTAAATCCTATACATAGTCGTGTTTATGACTTACAGTAATTAGCAATGATTGAAAGCTGAAAATGCAAGGGCATGAAACCCAACACTAGCAAGTGGAAGCGAATTAGTGATTGTGAAGCTCATTGGCGAAATACAAAAATACTTAAAGAACTATTTCCAAACCATAGAAATATTTGGTCGCGAATGCAAACGCAACAAAATAACATACCTCAAATGAATTGCAATGCAAATTTAGTTAGTATAAAAAATTTAACCTGTAATTATGCCCCACTCCTGCTTTGAATAAATAGGGCATAAACCAAGTCAACCCACTTTTGGACAGGCCTCGAGATGCACGTCTTCCTTTTGTAAAATAATGTGCTACGCAATTCAGTTTAGCAAAATATCCTCATAATTTGCATTCTCCTACCAAACACTCCATTCCAAAACTATATGCAGACAACAACACTTCTTCCTCAGAACCACCATTGACTGGAATATACTGCCCTCCTCTATTGTAAACTGTCTTATCAATATTAAATACCCTCAAGTATCTATGCAAATGTCCCTTTCCTTCCATATGCAGAACTCTGACATAATCTTCAACTTGATGAAGTAGGTCAATATATGGTAGAAGTAGAACTAAATTAAGAAATATAGGTCAAAAAGATCTATATTTGATATATAAACCTTAACAAATTATTAAAAGGCAGTTCTGATAGAAAAGAACATTATTTATTCTAACACATGGTAAAATTTGAAAATTTTCAACACTTATTTTTGTTTTAAAAATACGCTTTGTACAATAAACAGTAAGTACCATAAGGTATATCACAACTTAACCGCTAGCCCAAACATTTAAGCAAGTTTTGATGCATATATATAGTGAAGCCAAAAACATGGTCTACAAAAGGACTTCTTGGTAATTCATCATTTATACTCATATCAGTTCTCGTAACAAGTGAGCTAAATTGTCTCCGTAATGACAATGATCTGAACTGTCTGTCTCTTTTCAGCTATGTATACTCCTAATACGGCATATAAAAAACAATGTGCATTGAAATATGTAAATATTCAATTAATCATGTTTTTCTAAAAAAAAATGTCAATGATACTTTTCTGCATTTATACAAGATTTTAAGGCAAAAGATATCTTAATGGTTTAACTGGTACCCCAGTGCGACAACTAAAACATCTTGGGCCAAATCCAACTGCAGGTATTCAAGCACTGCTTGTGGTAGGATATTGCACATGTAATTTGAAAATCCTGAAATCAAGATACCCAAAAATGCCGCCTTATGTACATGTGTATCCATTCTATTAATGGATAGAAATATTCTCATACCTTTCCACACCACAGTGGAAATAATAGAGTTGGCAATGCAAAATATATTTCAAACTGTTTCTATGCATTCATGTACATACATGTATTATCACCCAATGTCAAAAATAACAACTTTTATACTTGACAATGTAAACCGGGAGTCTTTATGTGTGAAATAAAACATATTCATTTTATTTCAAGATTCCCTATCCCATCACTGCACGATTGAATATTTTCATCTTCTGTGGGATTTTCAGCATTGTCGGGCTTGCTCAGCAGTAACTTGTGTGCTTCTATAATGGCATTCTCTTCTTCTGGATCAACCCGTGCTCCGGAATACATGACATCTGTTCTTATGGTGAATTTCTCTCCCGCTATCAGAGTTGATCCCTCGTGTAAAATGTCATGTTGAAACACCAAAACAGAACCTAAAAGTTTGATAAAAAAAGACACTTATTATCAAACATTTGAGAAATAGAATTACGAACTGATATTAATCAAGACATGTTCATACAACAATTCAATAAAATCATCATTATACTCTTAAATAAATGAAATTTGTTTTTTTAGTGTTTGTAATCAAGTTTTACTAATAAACGTTTTATTGTCATTTCATCTGACAATAACATTGTACTTGTTTTGTTATTTTTATTGTACTCATGGATTACTACTAATTTAAAGTACTGCATTACATATTCCATACCTTGTTTTAATTTGTTAGTAAGTCATAATTGATATCTTATACATTGGTAAGTTTTTTTTAAAAGACCTTTTTTTTTACTGAAAAAAGGGTAAAAAGAACATTTGTAAGTTAATGTATACAATGATAACAATTAATTCTTCTGCAATAGACATGTATTACTGATAATAAGATATTCTACACATTGATAATATATTTTAAGTCACGTTTTTGCAATGTACTTGTTCATAAGTGTACTTAGATGATTTGTTATTTCACTCGCCTGTTTTGGGAACAACTGGACACAGCTCCTTCTCAGGTGAATCCATAAACGTGGTCTCTCCTCCCTTAAAGCCCTAAACAGAGTAAAGCTATTCTGTTTATCATATGTTGATGAATGTGTCCATATCGCAATACCTGAACTTTTAGTTGTCATGCACCAGACAGGAAAGATGTATCTGTTGCACATTGATGTAAAACCAGCAGAACTCATGTCAAAGATTAAACACAATCATCAATACGGACATTTCCCATGCTGAACAACCTGGCCCTGTGGACACAACCCCTGCAGGTCGGGGATTGAGAAAAGAATACACCTGCTGTTACCCACTGTATTGTATCGTAAGAGGCGACCTCTATGTGCCCTGTATTTGGGGACACAAAAGCCACAAAGAACAAGAGGCCCAGGGGCCTTAATAGCTCACCTGGTATTTTATTTTTCAATTTAAAACCTGCTGAGTACCATTCAGGTTTATCAAAGGAGTACAAGTAACAAAGTTGCATCTTCCATTTATAAATATTCAATTCCCTTTGCCCAAAGATTCTCTAAAACAAGTTTGGTTAGGTTAAAATCCCTTCAACGGTACAGAAGGAGAAGGATCTTTAATGTTTTCCTCTATTTCCCCTAATGGGCCCCACTAATCTGCCCCAAAGAAGGGGAATCCACACACCTCAGTTTAAACAAAATTGATTCTTTTCTCCCTAAGCATGCTTCAGACTGCATTTGGTTTAAATCCCTTCACTTGTATAGTAGGAGAAAAAAAATCCTCTATTTCCCCTATTGGGCCCCGCTCCTATGCCGCCAGAAGGCCCACACCCTCCGTTTATACAAACTTGAGTCTCCTTTGTCCAAAGATGCTCTAGGACAAATTTGGTCAAAATCCTTCAATTGGTTGAGGAGAAGATTTTTAAAGATTTACCTATTTTCCCCTATTTGGCCCCGTCCCTCTGCCCCCAGGGGGACCATACCCTCCGTTCATACAAAACTGAGAACCCTTTGGCCAATGATGCTCCAGACCAAATTTGGTCAAAATCCCTTCATCGGTACAAAAGGAGAAGGATATTTGATGTTTTCCTCTATTTCCCCTAATGGGCCCCACCCATCTGCCCTTAGAAGGAGGCCCACACACCTCAGTTTATACAAAATTGATTCTTTTGTCCCTAATCATGCTTCAGACTGCATTTGGTTAAAATCCCTTCACTTGTATAGCAGGAGAAAAAAAATCCTCTATTTCCCCTATTGGGCCCCGCCCCT